AGATGGTAAACTGCAGCTTCATTTTCCCCTAATGAGGGCTGGTCCTCAGGACTGTAATTTTGAAGAGCATTTTTTTGTTTACCCCCCCAAGCAAATCCCACCAACCCTCATCGTGTCTCCTCTTTTCTCCATCCTGTACTCCCTTCTCTCAGCCAGCATCCTCCCCAAACCACTCCTCTCTGCTGCTATGACTCATCGTCTGTGTTAGTGGATAAACTGGTATTAGAAAGCCAGGCACCAAAGGGCACGATCTGCTCATTCATCATGCATACTGTTACATCAGTGCATCTTTACTCATTTGATCCAGCTAATTAAAGCATATTGAAAGCCTATTGTGCCTCAAACAGTGAACAATTATCTTGCTCTGCAGTACAAGAACAGTATTCACTGCTGATAAACACTTAACAATTAAGTTCAAATACCCTGGAGGTTGCACTCAATTTCCAGTTTGAGTGCATTTTCATCTGTTTCAAGATTATTTTTGTTGCAGCAAATAAAATCTTAAGGTGCCCAGGCACATGCACACACTGAAACAAGGCTGAATGAGATTTATATCAAAATTAAATGTTGGATTTTTGACCACAACCCCCCTTAATTCTCCACTTCCTCCCTGCACGATCTCCCGATCCAAGCTTGGGACGAGTGCCAGCATCAGCAGTGCTAAAATATTTATCAGTCTCCTCCACTTTTCTATGCTGTCATGGGAGACAACACAACCAGACCTGCTTCACTTAGCGAGCAAGTCAGAAACTGCGAAATGTCTGAAGACCTGAGAGTAAAAAGGCAGAGCAAAAATCGAGGTGATGTTTAAGAAGAGAGCCGCACTGGCTGACTGGAGATTCAAAAGGAAGACAATAGAATCACAGCCGCATCTGGCGAAGGCTGAGACAGATCATCAAGAACCGCTTTCAACTTTGGATTTTCCTCTGGCAGGTCCTCTGTGACTGTCAGAGAAAAAGCATCTTTCAAATATGGCACCCTAACAAGACAAAAACAAAAAAAAAAAAAAAAAAATAGCAGAGGTCAGGG